GGGGGGGAAGGTCAAGATTATCGTGAGTTTGCAAGGAGCGTGTGGCACAGGTGTAATTATCATCCATCTGGGGGAGGGGGCGTGGAGGGGGGGGGGACAGCTACTGTCGGTTGGGCGAGAGTACGGCCCTGGTCGGTGGTGCGACCGCTGCTGTGCAACAACGGCCACGTGACACGGCGTATCACCTGGTAGCATATCACAAGCAAGCACGGCTACCATCCGGCCGCCGGAGGAAGAAGCGGTGTGAATGTGAGGGTGCGGAGGGTCTCCCACTAGTTCCGCCGGCAGAAAATTGAGCGGAGACTGGGAGTTTCCACCGTGTGGAGCGCGGTGCAAGTTGCATGTTTAAGTCATCGCAACGTTTTCCCAACGCAAGTCTCGGTGTGTTTGATGGGCAGGCTAGATGTATGAAGATAGTTTGAGGGGTTGGGGGGAGGAGGATGGCGTCGGAGTGAACAGGGGCTCCGCTCATTTTTCACAATTGTAGCTTGCGGGGGGGGGAGGGTGTACTCATAGTCGTGCATGCCGTAGTCGTCAGACCATTGACCGCATCCCTACAAAGCCGGGACGGAGCACGCCAGGTTCTCACCGGACCAGGCCCTCACATCACCAAGTGCGAAGCGCCGTGAGGTATTCGACGAGTCGCATGAAGGGTGCGCTGCATCCTGCTAAGGGTGTTCGGCATCTTGTGCTTACTTCCTTGCGTACGGATGACAGCTGCGTATGACTTAATTTATTTTCTGGTGCTTCACTTCCAGGGACAGTTGTAAGCACTGTGTAACTGCCTCGAGGGTGCTTGACCATTTTAGCACAACGTGGTGCGATCATCCCCCTTGCGCGGAGCGAGGCTTCTCCACCCCGCACAACATGATCTAGTCGACCACCATTATGGTTACCGCCAAAAAACAAAACAGAGGTAAAAAAGAAAGAACGGTATCCTGGTTGCCGAGTTCACGAAGTGAATTGGCTTGTTTTACAACGTCGTTGCCAAGCGACGAAAACCCAATCCCGATGGCAAACACCGGGGGGCGGCGGCTTGTTTTACAACGTCGGCGCCAAGCGACGAAAACCCAACGCCGATGGCAAACACT